ATTTAGGTTTGAATTGGCAAAATTGGATTTTTGATGATTACCGGTTGATAGGTGGGATTTTGATATAGGAGTCATAATGGAATTCTGAGAGTTGTAGCAGTTCCGTTGTGTCATTTGGGATATGTTTGTAAAATTTCAGGTCATTCGGACGTGGTTTGGTTGAGGTTTTGATCAAAAATGTATAATTTAGAAGATTTTGGAAACTTAGGCTTGAATCCGATGTGTTTTGGTTGATTCGATGTTGTTTGAGGTGTTTTGAGGGTTGGTATAAGTTTGAATAAGGTTATGGGTCATGTTTGTGTTTTTTGTTGAGGTTCCGAGGGCCTCGGGGTGATTTCGGATGGTTGTCGGAAAGTTTGGGAAATTTGAGAAGCTGAAGATTTTTCTGTTCTGGTATTTCCGCACCTGCGGATTGGGGACCGTAAGTGTGATGCCGCAGATGTGAGGAAAGGACCGTAGAAGCGGTCAAGGAGGAGAAGGGCAGGAGCCGCAGATGCGGTTGGCTGGCCGTACCTGCGATGGCGCAGGTGCGACTACTTGGTCGCAGATGCGGTTTTGGACCATTAAGTGAAAGCCGCAGAAGCAGCTCAATGACCGCAAATGCGGTATCGCAGAAGCGGTACCCGAGCCGCAGGTGCGAAATCCCTGGGCCAGAAGGTATATATTATTTTCTTCGCGAAATTTTGCTAAGTTCTCCATTTTGAAGACGGGAAGCGAGCTAGGGCAATGATTTCAAGGGAAAATCGAAGGAATAAGTTGGGCAAGTTCCCTAAGCTTCATTATTTGGATTTATGATCATTTTTCCATTATTTAATCATGGTATTAGTGGAGATTAAGGAAGAAAATTGGGATTAGGGCTTGAGATTAAGAGACTTTAAAATGGGAATTTGAGGGGTCATGTGGACTCCGATTTCAGTATTCTTGGTATTTATGGACTCGTGGAAGGATAAGGATTCTATGGATGTGATTTTTACTGAGTTTCGAGATGTGGTCTCGGAGGTCGGGTTTGGCCAATATCAGAATTTTTGGTATAATTTGATTTATTTCGCATTGGCTTCGTCCCTTTAGCCTATTCTAATGTTATGATTCTGATTTTGGGTAAATTCGGCACTAGTTAAGGCCGAGGCGATGGGCAAAGGCATCACAGAGTAGTGTATTCATCCGTTTGAGGTAAGAAATCATTGTAAATCTGGAACTGAGGGTACAAACCCCAGTATTTAAATTGTTTTGATAAGTGCGGTGACGCACATGCTAGGTGACGAGCGTGTGGGCGTGCACCGGTAGGGATGGTGACTTGATCCGTCCCGTAGCAACTATTAAGCCACGTATTTGATTTTAAACCTTATGATATTCCGTACTTTAGTCATTATACTGTATTATGGGTTGTATGCCACGTTTGGGGCCTTGTACCGACCTGTTGAGACCCTTAGGGGCATTTTTACTATTTTCCCTCACCCTACTTGTTTGAAAGCATATACTCAGTCATATTTTACCTGTTTATTGTTTAAAACTGGTTTTATCACTCTACTATTTCATGGTCAAAAACCTTGAATGTCATCGAATCAGGGTCATTATTTACAATTTCTGAAAGCAATACACAGTGAATAAGTTTACCACAGAATTTCACACTTTATAATCGGAAAAAGTTTCCGAAAATACCATCCCTCAACTTCTTCCATTGCCTGTTTGACAAAAAAGTTTTGATTGTTTCCTTATACTGTAAATCGTCTTTCCAATAGATCATAAAATTACGCCAAACATCAAACTCGAACACACGATCTCCTTCCATTATCACACTACAAAGAAGGAAAAAGAACATAAAAGATTAGCACTAAAAGATTAGGACTTACAGTTACAACTTGAAAAGTTCGAGGTACTTGGTCCTGAACTTCAAGTTTCAAGTAAAAAAGTTAAGGACAGGCAGTCCTTAGCTTAAAATTTCAAGTTGAAAAGTTAAGGACAATAGGTCCTGAACTTCAAATTTCAAGTTCAAAAGTTAAGGACACTTGGTCCTTAACTTCAAGTTTCAAGTTAAAAAGTTAAGGACAGGCGATCCTTAACTTGTAGTTTCATGTTGAAAAGTTAAGGACACTTGGTCCTAAACTTCAAGTTTCAAGTTCAAAAGTAAAGGACACTTGGTCCTTAACTTTGAATTCCAAGTTCAAAAGTTAAGGACACTTAGTCCTGAACTTTGACTTACAAGTTCAAAAGTTAAGGACACTTGCTCCTTAACTTAGAGTTATAAGTTAAGAATAGACAGTCCTTAACTTATAGTTTCAAGTTGAAAAGTTAAGGACACTTAGTCCTGAACTTCAAGTTTCAAGTTCCAAAGTTAAGGACACTTGGTCCTTAACTCCAAGTTTCAAGTTCAAAAGTTAATGACACACAGTCCTTAACTTTGAGTTCCAAGTTCTAAAGTTAATGTCACTTGGTCCTTACCTTTTATGAACACAGTTAACTAAAAATTCACAAACACAGTTAGCTTATGAATTCGTACGACTATTTTTATGAAATGTCCTTACATAATCAAATATATTGATTGAACCAAAAACACATTTCAATACCAACAAATTCTGAATAACTTCCTCACAAAAATACGCTACTTATTCTACACTGAATCAACTTATAATCATTATTTTTGAAATTTCACACATACTTGACACAGCATTGATCGCGATTACACATATACAAAAACAAAAATGCATAAAAGCAAAAAAAAAATACCAGTTTGATCGTTCGATGCAAACAAGATGATAGAGAAGATGAAGAAGGAGAAAGATTAAGTGCAACTGGTTTGCATGCGAGGACGATAAAGATACTGAGGAGCACGCGAAACTTGCCTCTGAAATTTTCGCTCTCAAATTTTCCCTCTGAATGAATAAAACAAGGGTTTGGGAATATAAGAATTGTAGAAAGGGTAAAACTATCTTTTCAAAATAATTTTAATAGAGTAGTGGCTATTTTTGCTGAGCATTAGAATTAGTGGATAAAACATATACTTAGCGGCTACCACACACCATTTTTATAGATTTAATTGAGAAATTTTTCACAAACCACTATTGTTTAGAGGTTATTAGCTTTTATAGCTACCATTTACTATATTACTTCTTATAATTATGTTTTCAGTTGTTATAAAGTGTATTCATGAATACAGTCGCAATTATGTACAGTCGCAAAACACGGCGTGAATAAGGGGAAGTCCAGCTAGCAATTATTGTATTCGACTGTATTCGCGAGCTATATTCGTGAATATAGTAACGTAAGTTGCGTAAACAAATGGTCTTTTCAGTTGTTTTAAAACGGAAAGTGAATCAATTAGTCAAATAGTCTCCTAATATAACTCAACTAACACAATTATATCACGCATAATCTGTATTTCATGTTGTAGAAAAGATTTTCTATCGGAAAATACCACAAAATATAGCAATCTCTAAATTTTCAATCCTTCCTTTTTTCTGTTGTTGTCGTTCGTGGAAGTTCTGTTTTCAACTAATAAAATTCGAGATTCATACAATTGTATACAAAAATTCGATATAATTCGATTTTACATATGACAAGTTTAACTGTGTTATTGCGTCATTTTGGAAAGTGGAATAGTGAGAGTAACTATGTCGATTATTCGATTGAGGGGGTACTGATAAAGGAGCATGCGTCATACAATGATTTGGTTGCTTCAATTTCGAATCAACTCGATATAGATTCGAGCTCAAAGTCCATTAAAATTGAATACAAAGCATAAGGAAATTGCACAACAATGGAAATACACAACGACATGGTTACATAGAGTATGTAGAGTTGAAAAAAGTAAACAGAGAATTCGGGATGTATCCTTTATGCATAACAACAATTGACAAAGAAGTTGTAGCTGGAGGTAGTTTAATTCAAGGCGACCTTGTGCAAATTGACGAAGCAAATCAAAGGTGTAATTTTGATATAGATGATGCACTTGCTCTTGACGTTGTCAATTCAAGCGAACCCATTGGGGTGTTCGAACTAGACATGAATTTGATAATTTCAAAAACTAATCAAAGAGAGGTTATGGCTGGGCAAATATAGAAAATTGAGAGAGACAATGCAGATGAAGAAGTGAAAAATCGTGGTTTCTGAAAAGGGGAAGAGAATGGCGATGAGAGTGAGAGAAATTGGAAGTGAAGAATCGTGGGTTCTGAGAATGTATTCGAGAATGGCGATGTGAGTGAGAGAAATTGGAGAAAGAGAACGTGGAAAGAGAAGTTTTACATCAAATACGATAATTTTGTAAGAGAAAAATCTGAAAGAATGAGAGAGAGAAATAATACAAAGCGTATTTTATTGGCTTAAGGGTAGGGGTGACCATAAATAGATATTTGGCTATAAAAATTAAAAGGTAGCTATGGAATATAATTTTTTAAAAGGGTATTTATTTAAAATAAATAATGTATCAACCTTTGCTATATGAGATAAAAATTCCTATTCAATATGGTAAAAATAGCACCGACTAGCCAGTTTTCGGACTGGTCATTCAAAAATAGCTAACATTTGCAAAGTCATTGGAAAATAGCCACTATTTTGCTGCACCACGGAAAGTTCCAGCATAATATATTGGAGACCGGTGCACCTGTGTATGAACTTCCAGCATATTATGCTAGAACTCCAAACACACGGAAAGTTTCAGTATAATATACTGGAGATTGAAGCACCGATGCTTCAATCTCCAATATATTATGGTGGACCGGTATATTATACTGGAATTTCAGTATATTATACTGGAGTATTTTTTCGGATTTGAACAATATTTTCGTTCAGATTTATCTTTACATGAAAAATAGCTAAATTTCAATTACTTTTGAAACTGTGGCTATTTTTGGATGATCACTTGTAAATCTGACTATTTTTGAATTTCTCCCTTCGTGGGGTGAAAAAAAATTGCATAAGGAAATTAGGTAGGTGTTGAATTTAAAAGTTTGTGATATATTTGTTTTCTTGACACAAAGTATTATTTTCCACCACAAGAGCTAGGTTGTTGACTTGGCAAAAAGAAAGAAAAGAGAACAAAGAGAAGTCCGTCGGCCCATCAGTATTGGCTCTAGCACTTTGGGACTTGATTGAAACAATAGAACAAACACATTGTGCTCATCATTTGGAGCAAAGACCCCAAATACCCACCCAGTTCATGGGGAGATGGAGAGCTGCTACTAATTTTGTAGCTCGAATTATTGCAGCCAAATCTAGATCAATCCCTCAAAACCCACTTCACAAAATCCACATATTTTCGTCATTAGCTTCAGTACCACCCAGAATTCAATTCTTGAATTTCAGGTCATTTTCTGCAGCACCAGCTACATATCCACAATATGTGGATGATTTTGAGTATAACAACAACCTCCATAAGCTTGACGATGATGAGGAAATTGGAAAAATTCCCGTTAAAGCTTACTTCCTTTGCACCAGGTTCTTTTTTAATCTCCCTTTCTACTTGACTGATTCGTGATTTGTTTGTTTCTTTCATTTTTATGGTTTATATTGCTTAAAAAGAAGGTTTTTTCCCGAGAGGAGGATGTTTGTTATTGGGAATGAATCAAGAAACATTTTTGAACACTCTTGTATGATTTGCTTTTCTGTTCTGCTTAGTAAAGATTTGTGGTAGTGGTAGAGTAAATTGTGTGTTTGGGATCCTAGAATTATGGCCAAGGTTGTGGCCTAGTGGTTAATTAAGTGGGCGGAGAACGATGAGGTCTCATGTTTGAATCTGAGCGGAGACAGAAAATGCTAGGCAATTTCTTCCCATATGCCCAAGCCTTGTTGTGAGGAGTTAACTGACACTTGTGCTCGTGGGTGTTAGCAAGTACCTAGTGGAATAATCGATGCAGGCATCATCGTCATAACAAAAAATGGCCTTGGAACGGAGTGTTCTAGCTTAACTGCTTAAGGCATGCTGGTTTAACTGCATTTTTTCCTGCCTTAGAAATAACTGCAAGGGGTCATTTGATGATAGTTAGTGACTAACAAGGGGATTCAAAAAAATGCAAAAATGCTATACCTTGTAGCTTCTCGTATGTTAAGGGATTTCAATAATGTAAATATATATATATAAAATTTATTTACCCTACTTGCATAGTGTAATTTCGGATGAAGGGGATTCAATTGAACCCCCTTTATTACCTTTAGCTCTGCTCCTGACCGACTTAGGCACATGCAATGCTTTTCCCATATATCGATAGCGTGCATAGAACACATTCATGTGGGGAAGTAATTCCGTTTAGTGAGCAAAAGACTACGGATTTGATTTGGTTTATCAGTTAACCTCTTAGCAAATATTATTGCCAGTCCACTGTAGAAGCCAGAGCATGTTTGTTTGTTCATTCGTTTGTTTGTTATTTCTTTTAATAAGGTAGAAGTCAGAGCATTTTTCTTAAAGCCACATCATTTCTTTTGACATGTTAGGTAGTACGATACAACTTTTCGATTTTTTGGACTCTCTAAGGCTATAATGGTGGCTTTGTAATTCTCCCTTTTTTGTTTTTAAAAGATCATCTTTCCTTATCAAAGAAAAAGAGGCAATATTCAAAGGTAGATAAATCTGTAAATAATTGTTAAATCCCCCCCATATCCAGACTAAATGGCATATCTCACTCATGATCTATCATTCTAAATTTCATGTTGTGCTCCGTATATTTGGTGTTTTTTGCAACAATGAGTGTGTGTGTGTGTATATATGTGTGTTCCATTTCTGAATGTTGAATTATATATTGTTCCACATCAGACATAAAAAGGCATCCAAAAAGGTTGGAAAGAGCTTGGATCACTCCTCCTATTTTCTTAAGATTTTGGGTTGGATACTCAGATCTTTTTACATGGTAACAAAGCAGGCAGATGAGTCTTGGGTCGAAGTCTCATCGCCACCTATAAAAAAAATTCCATGTACTTGGCCTAACAACAGGATCAGGCCTGCAAGTGATGGGGTTTGATGTAGAACTAATAGAAATAAATAAAAATGTGCCTACTCTAATGACATTAGCTTTTTGTGTGCGACGGTGTTGAACTATACAGTGTCGCACAGCGAGTAAAAGCATCCAAACAATTTATAAAGATGCTGGTCCACTCCATCAATTTGGTTTAATATTTTCGGTTGAAATCTCAAATTCTTTTACAGTACATTACTGGCAATTTGTTGCCGTGGTATTTTTTGGTCACTAACAGATTGGCTCGTCCTGTATATTTTGTGTTTTGGGATTCGCTACCTCTTTCACTATTTTCTATCAATGCCTTTTCTTCTTTATTTCCTGCTTTCTCAGATTACTCATTTTGGCAGTATTGATTTGAAGCGCATGCAAGCTGAAAATTCAGCAGATGTTCTTCCGTCATCGTCCCGCTCACCGAATCATATAGCCCTCAGATTTTTCAATCTTCTATCACAAAATTCTGTAAGAAGAAATTCTATACACCATATTGCAGTTTTGTTGTTATGTCCTGTAGTAACGATTTCATGTCTCTGTAATTAGAAGTGCATCTCTCAAGATTGTTTCAAACCCATAATATACGTGCACATATATTTGGTCAAGAAATAATCATGTTACTGTCATGAGGGATTTTGGTAGGATCTTATTGCTTTTATGGATAATAATGAGCCTTGTTAGTTGGATTAACATGATAGTAGAGTAGATTAATCATATTCATGAAGCTCTCATCCGTTTTTCAACTTTGTATTAGAGAAAACATCTATTTAGTCTTGAACTTGAGAAGCAAATTCTATATGTCGAAGTAGGATATACTAATATCAGCAGAAGATTTCTAAGAGGGAAACCTTTCAGTCCAAGTACATAACAAGAAACAATTGAATTCTTCAAAGTTCAAACCAAGGATTACATTCATATTTAATGAAAAGTTTTTCCTTTCAGCTAATTTATGCTTTCCAAAAATGGTTTCCAAAGTAATAAATATGGCTTATGATTTCACACGATAAAAAACGAATAAAATTATTCACCACCCTTGTATTGCACTGAGATTCCGACGTCTACGCTCATGTCCAAATTCTTCTTCATTCTGCTGCTCATTTGAAGCAAAAAATAAAAACAGAAACCCACACAGCTTATATAGATATATTCAAACGGTGAAATGGTATAACTTGATTTTTGGTATTTACAGTTTGTAGAGGTGTTATGTAACATAAACCAAGTGTTGCATATATGTGTGTGCCTTGTAGCTTTAGTGAGTCAGGGCGATGGCTTTTATATGTACATAGGTACTCCACACCCCAAGTAGAGTTAGTGAGCCTGTTATAGGTGACCAATTAGTTCAGGGGCAGTCAGCTGGCCTGACTTAGCTGTCTGGACTCATTAAGACCATTAGGCGAGTTTGCAAAATTGTGAGTGTTTAGGTGCAACTCAACCTTTCGCTGAATGGTTGTGCAGTAATAGCTACTGCGACACATAAGAAATAGAAGGTGGTCCTCTTGCTCTTATGTTTTGGTTGATCTTTTGCTCATTCATTTGAATTGATAAAAATGAAGACTAATGATTTGCCTATTTAGTCTATGTTAACCCATTTTATGCTTTTGGTTGGCCAGTTGAGCTTAACTTCTTTTTAACCCCTTCAATGAACAGTTTGCGGTTTTCATTTTTCCTTTTTCTAAATAAAGTACTTTCTCCCTTTCAAAAAGATTGTCTTAGTTTGATTTGGCACAAACTTTGATAAAAAAGAGAAGACTATTGAGATATGTGGTCTTAAATAAGCAATAACATTTGTGGGGCTGTAAAACTTTCGAAACTTGTGGTCTGAAACCTGTCATATCACTTGTGTGGTTATAAATGCTTCTTATTAAGGAAATATTGAAAGGTGCCAATTTTTTTGAAACGTACTAATAAGAAAATAGTGCCAAACTTATTGAAATAGAGGGGGTAACAGTTTGCCGTCTTTGATATTTTAAACCATCAGTTGTCTTTGGCACAATAATTGTTTAATTTTCTCTGTGTCTGTTGTAGCCATGTCTCTGTACTTAATTAACAACAGAAAGGATTATGTTCTTTCTGGCTTTTGTTCTGTTCTTTGGAGGTTAGCTTAATTTGGCATGATGGCACCATTTTTAGAGTAGTGCATCATCATATATGAAACTCTCATTCCTGAATGGATCTTATCAATACACTGGGCAATTTATGATAGTGTGACCTTTATTTTCAGGCCCGTGGATTTGGGGAAAAGACAAATAGTTGCAGTTATATGGTTGTGTTCCAGTATGGTTCAACTGTATTATTCAATGTGGAGGACGATGATGTTGAGTACTACTTGCAAATTGTGAGAAGATATGCATCTGGGTTGCTTCGTGAGATGAAAAAAGATGGTTAGTTTTTTCTTTAATGTGAAATGGCAAAATTTTATTCTGTTCTTCTGCAATCGTATACGTATTAAGGGAGCACCCCTTAATACATGTGTCAGGAGTCTTTGCACCTTCCTCTCCACCTACGATAAAAGTGGGGAAAAGAAAAAATGGAAAAGAAGTTTGAGTTGACTAATTAAGCATGTCGAAGTCTTATTTCATTCACTATGTGTCTTAGACTAATATAAACATGGTTGGTTTAGCAACTAACAATTTCAGCCAGCTAAATAAGGTCAATTATGTGATACTGGGAGCTAGCTTGGACTGGAGAATTTCTTTGTGGTATTTCGATCAATGCCTAACCCAAGATGTTGTCTACATATTTTCTGGTCATTGACTTTCATTTAGTACAAACAAACATGCCAAATGCTGCTTACCTAAGCCGAGGGTCTATTGGAAACAACCTCTTTACCTGCACAAGGTAGGGGTAAGGTCTGCGTATACACTACCTCCCCATACTCCACTTGTGAGATATACTGGGTATGTTGTTGGTGCTGTTGTTGAAACTTGCCAAGTGCTACTGCGCACTTGTAACATGCTCTTTCGAATATCTTTCTACCGTCTAGAATATTTCTCTAATGATGAAGGCCACTTCACCTTCTATCAGATTATGCTGTAAAAGAGAAACCATTGCTGGTTGAGGATATGCAGGGAGGTGCAGATCACATAGTTCTGAAAAAGTTGGACACAGATAGTATTCGTATAATTGGCAGTGTGCTTGGACAAAGCATTGCCCTTGATTACTTTGTCTCACAGGTACATATTCCAGATACTTGTTTATGCTTGAACAAACTAATGGTAACTGTTTGAAAATCATACAGCTCTTACTGTCACGATCTGTAAAAGCTCAGAAGCATGCTTCAATAAAGCTGGCAGCACAAAATTGTCATGATAAGTAGAAAGATATTGATTAGTAAACCTAACTTTGAAATTGGATACTATCCTGCTTGTAGGTTGATGGTATGGTTGAAGAGTTTGCTGGGATAAATCGGGAAATGGAGAAAACGGGCACTTTCACAATGGACAGAAAGAAATTGTTTCAACTTGTTGGCAAGGCTAATTCAAATATAGCTGATGTGATTTTGAAAGTAGGTATCTTTGAAAGGTAATGCTTTAAAAATGCCTTTGTGTTCTTCCGCTATTCCTAAAAGTGGTTAAGTACTGCTCCACTATTTCGTTCTTGCAGTTAGTCCAATATGTTATACTTCTTCCTTTCAGAAAGGAAAAATCCTTTTTGGTCAGATCTTGGTTAGAGATAAAATAATGAATAGACCGTCATGTCCATTAATATAAATGTGAGACTTGTTATCATTTATACCAAAATTTGCCTTCAAACCTATATTTGTGGCGGTGAACTACCTGAACATGGTCCTGATTCTTACATTTGATGAAAAATTTCTCTTAGGGGTCGTTTGGTTGGAATAGGGCTTATGCCGGTATAAGTTATGCCGGGATTGTTGTTTATTCACTGTTTGGTATGTTATATTAAGAATGACAATTGTATAATTTCTAAGAAGAAGGTATAAGTTATACCGGTGCTAATTACCCCACCCTCTATAAGGTATAAGTTATCTTGGTGTTAAAACTAACACCGGGATAACTTATACCTGGTTTGCTAACCAAACAGAGTATTAAGGTGGTATTAAATTTTTATACCACCCCTATACCTTCTTATACCTCATACCAAACGACCCCTTAAAGTTTATTTATACTTATTAGTTTTGGTTACAATTTCAACTTTGCATTGGGATTCTGTGTGTGGTAATGAAGGTATAGACAAGCTTGTAGCCACTCAACGTCTCAATCTTTAGGAAAATACAAGTTCTATTGTGTTTGCAATCTCAGGTATGTTTTTATGGGGCTCTCAAAGAGTTCTGCAAGAAGAAGCCAAACTTGTCTTTTATTTTAAACTTGTTTCTGGATTATTTGCAATCAAGCGTGCTTGTTTAAAAGAAAAATTTCCCAAAAGAGTTTAAGATAGATTTTTAGAGGATAAAAGATAGCAGAAGTCTTTTTCTTAGTAGGAGCCTCTAAATTTTTGGGAAGTCATTGTTTAAGCCTCTAGCTTTCTCAGCTTCATTTGGCTGCTCAGACTATTTTCTTCTGTCTCACTCATCTTTTAGGCCTCTTGAATTGTTTTCACTTCTTTTTGCCTTGAACTGATGCTTTTGTCTCAGAACTGTGTGCACCAGTTCCAGTCAGTTGAAGCCTTGAAGGTACTGTTAGAGTAACTGTATCTTGGCTCCTAAACTTTTGGTTTTGTGCCAGACATATCCTTCTACTTGTGAAATAATCCAAACCAGCTCTTTTTGATAATATTGGCCACTAACATTGATCCATCAGACAAAAAGGTTATCAAGTTACAACAACAACAACAAAAAATCCATTTTAATCCCACAAGTGGGGTCCGGGGAGGTAGCGTGTACGCAGACCTTATCCCTACCTTGTGGGGATAGAGAGGATGTTCCGATAGACCTTCGACTCAGTAAAAGCATAATCACAATGAGGTTGAAAAGAAATATAGTAATGGAAAAGAAGCAGTAACAACAACAAGATAATAAGGTAACCAAAGCAAAAGAAACAATGAGCAGTACTCGAAATCTTAGTTTAAGAAAGTACAGGAGTAATATTGATACTATAGGTATAAAAAAGAAATACGTTCACTACCTGCTAGCCTTCTACCCTAATTCTCGACCTCCATACCCTTTAATCAAGGGTCATGTCCTCAGTAAGCTGCAGATGTGTCATGTCATGTCTTGTCTTATCATCTCTCCCCATTATTTTTTTGGCCTACCTCTATCTCTTCTCAGACCCACCATGGTCAACCTCTCACACCTTTTCACCGGGGTATCTAGGCATCTCCTCTTCATATGCCCGAACCATCTCAACTTCACTTCCCGCATCTTGTCTACCACGGGGCCTACTCCCACCTTGTCCCGAATATCTTCATGTTATGTTTCTTTTTTCTATTCATTGACAACAAGATATTATATGTCAAGGAAAATGAAGAAGAATAGTTAATTTTGAAAAGGGACAATAATTCATATACTATGCATGCTTATGTGAAGGAAGAGTAACTGTGTTTCACATGTTTTCTTTTCTAAAAACAATTATTGCATCATATTTGCTTTGTAGTTTCTTTTCTTTGTTTTCTTTGATGGGTTTAAATTTGAATACAAGGTTAACGTTTACAGATTCCTATGGTTAGTGAAGCGAAGCAAGTGTAAGTGGCTACTTGACATGAATTTTCAGTTCAAGGGGTAGGGCGTGGGAAAAAGAAATTAAGGGATTAAGTGACTGCAAGTTTCGGAGTTTGAATGTCTTTTTTTCTCGTATATAAATTCTAGTATGCCTTGATGTGCTTTTAGAGCTAACCGAATATTCACACTTCAGAAATTTGTGTAGAGTAAGATGCTACAGCTGCCTGTTTGTATTAAATGAGTTAGTGCAGTGAGCTTGTTATCATTGATGATCTTTCTAAATATCTTACCTTGTTTTGCAACTCATTGTTAAGGTCTGAAATTGCTTGGAGAGATGCAAAATATGCTCAGATACTGGAGTACCTTCGGGAGGAATATGAGGTCTCACAACGTTTCGGGAACCTCAACTTCAAACTAAAGTTTGTCGAGGTATTAATCTCCCATTGACCTATGCTGTTTTATATACCTTACTAGATCCATCTTATTTGTAGGTTCTCATAAATTTCTGTTGCTTCTTAATGTTAATCATAGATTATCACAAATTCCTTGTTTTACCACGGACCTGGTATAAATGGGACCTCACAGAGGAAAAAACAAGTAATAAGAAAATCGTCTGGAAGAAGGGAAGGATATTGCTGACTTAAGTTGTTATGACACACATGCGTTTGCATGCACGCGCACATGCATGTATGTATATACATTCAGGGACGAAGCTACAATAGTAGCTACGAGTTTGGATGAATCCAGTAGCTTTTGCTTAGACCAGTGGCGAAGCCACATGGTCATAAGGGTGGTCAATTGACCACTCTTCGTCGAAAAATTATAGGTAAAATGTTACGTTTTAGAGGTATATAACACATTGAACATCCTTTGTTGGGAATATTTTTCAGTTTTTTTTTTTAAAAAAAATTTGAACACCCTTGGAGAAATTCCTAGCTTCGCCAATGGCTTAGACCCTGTATTTGTATTAAGAAATTCATTAAATATGTATCAACATTTAATCGCGAACCGAATTACTAAAACGAGCTATAGGTTCGATGACAAGTTCAGAACCCATAAACTTCAAATCCTTGTTCCGCCTCGGTATAACTTGGATGGTCTTAGTATGTTCCTTTTAATGGGATAAGATATCAAGCAACTCTGGGCAGTGACTATGTTTATGGACAACCTTTCTTCTGTTTCACTACTATGTTGTACCAGCTTTTCCTTTTCTACTTTCTTTTCAACTTTTGCTTGCTGATTGTCAATGTGAAATGTGAATGCATCGATAAGCAAGCTCTATAGGTTTCTTAACAGTATGTCTGACGTTTCTTTTTGTGATTTTCACTGCTTCTATCTCTGAGCGAAATCATCTTTTTTGCAGCATAACATTCATTTTCTTCAGGAAGTTCTTCAAAATAGGAAGTCAGATCTGCTAGAATGGTGCATCATCGTCTTGTTGGCCGTAGAGAATGTAGTATGCATATATGAGATTGTTCGGGATTCAACTGCAATTCCCATGTGAACAGAACACAACCATATTCAATTTCTCAGTAGCCAATAAATAGTAACAGTGAAACGTAGTAGGATCGATATAACGATAATTCATAGAAAGCAACCACATTTCTAGGCATTCATATTGCAATTGTTTTATAATTTGTCCATCTTATACCTTTGTCTTTTGCTATTTCTTAACTGAGATGTAAGCATATACATCCATACGACATCGTCATGAATTAGTTACGATGATCATTTTTTTGTCGCAAAATTATGTTTATTTAACCATGCCAGATTCTATTTTTTCTTTGATAACCGAGAAATCTCCGCCAATTGGCACATGGTTTGAAGTTCAGCACTTTACCTTTCTCCACTTAAATATTAAAAAGATTTGCGGGCAACTTAACCGGTTCGAGATCACGACTTTCACTTAATCTACATATCATGTGTTGCGCTTTTACCATTGATGATTGAACCAAAGATCTGGAAATATCAGATACGAAATAATTAAGGACACCTGCCAAAGGATGTGTTTTACATTTCATCTGAGGTGGTATCTTTAAGAATTTTCTCAATAGGCTATTAATGATAATTAGTTCTAATTTGAAGTAGCACTTAAATTTAAAAGCATTATACCATCGCACTCCTTACTGTCCTAAATCATAAGACGAAATGAATGCAACTACTATACAACTCAAGAATCAAAGAAGACATAGCACAAGAAGCTAGCAGATAATATGGCAGTACCTTTCCATAAAGGTGAACATAAACCTCAGTCACATCTACATTAACATATATACTACCTTATTAACCAAAAAAAAAACTTTAAAAGCTCTTTTTTCTTGTATTTTCTGATAAAAACTAATATAAAAATATTAAGTAGAATATTTCCAAACATCACCGTCTTTTGATTACGTAAAAAATATAGGAATTAAATCAAGTTGACCCGTTTGTCAATGAATTTTTTTCAAAACGTGTTTGTTCATGAAAATTTGTAATTTTTTGAAATACTTTTGAAAATGAGTTTTTGAACAAAGTTTTTTCCCAACTCACTAGACTGCAGTATTTTTTTAAGTGAAATGCATGTGCAATAATTTAATTCCAATTACCATTTTTCAACTTAATTTCAAAACTACTTTTCTCCAAAAATTACAATTTTTATTTCCAAACACCTACTTAGAATGCCGCATGGAAGAGAATGGGAGTGCTGACTACATTTGAAAAAGAATAGCAATGTGGGCTTCCTAGTTTTTTAGATTTGACAAAAAGACTTAAATTTATCCACCTTTCATAGATAAAGCCAAAAGCATCATCCCATTCACGTTCTTCAATTTCATAGATGAATTTTATGATTCTTTTTTCGCTTTGATAATATTGAAATATATAAATTATAAAAAAGAAATGGAATCTTTATGAAAAAAAGAAAGAAAGACTGTTTTCTTTTTAAAGTAAATTTTTTTTAGAATTTTGAATTAAACTACTCAAACTTATCTATACATAAATAACATTCTTACAATAACATCTAAGGTAATATATTGCAAATACATTGCTAACATTTTACTAATCTAAATTTAGATTTTACCAATATTATAATAATATTACTATATGAAGTTAAAAGTTAATCTCTTTTTAAGACTACTATCCTATAAACAAAGTGAAAATGACAACATTAACTTTTTGATATTTGTATTTAGTTAAAAGTGGTCCGTTGGCCTAGACGTGCAGTTGTGGGGCGACACTGCACTATGTGGGATGGAAGTATGTCGCGAGTACTATATTTGGTCATGCCATGAGACAAAGATGGGCATGCTACGAAAGACGCACATGACAAAGGCCAAGGACTAAAAGTTGCCCTACTCGGGCGAAACACAAGCTGGGTGAGGATGCACTAGACGAGTGTCAAGCTTGAGGATTAGGCTGTGCACGCGAGAGCGATGCTCAGTGCTAGGCGAAGGACGTGCGTGTCCCTAGCCAACCCTTACAGGGTCAATTTTTCGCAAATGACTCTATAAGGCAGCAACCTGACACTCAAGTTACTTCAGCCCTCTTTTCCCTCACAATGTAATACTAAGGATTATTTCAGACTTTATGAAACGTAGGCAACACACACAATTACGGGTAAAAACCTAACATTTACTATTCTCGCAGAATATACACAAAGGACTCTCTGTTGGATGGCTCACATATGATCGGATGCCCTTCCAACGAAATACAACACAAAATATATAGGGGCTGCTACTGGCAGATTTACAAAGGCTAACTTACTATGGCAAATACAAAGGGACAACTTTTACAAGTGGGCCATATAAGCACTATAATTACTATCAGCACTTAGTCATGTTTAGTGCAGCACTCAACCATCTTCAGTGGAGCACCCAGCCATGTTTTATGGAGCACTCATCCCTCAATGGGGTCTTCCACGAAATGGCCATCATCAGCACTGCCCTACTGTCACATGTCTTGCACACTTGTCTCACAGTTCTGCCCATACTTTGCCTTAAGCCTGCCTAGCCTTGTCTTCGGACCATGCCTCGCACATTTTCGCTTGTGACAACATTCTCGTCACAGTCATGTCGTCCCACTGTTCCGTACACATGCCTTAGCCAAGTGCCATGTGTTTATCTTCCTCTGCCATAGTCGTCGCCCACAACTAAGGTTGTCTTGCCATCACTGAAGACACCTTGTCTAACTGACCTGCCCAAGTTCATGTACAACTTAGACACACTCCCAGCTTTATACATTGCTTTGTCAAAACTTCCAGAAACCATGCCAAGGGGCAATGTACAAGCCCTTGACATTGTTCCTTCCCGGCATCCATCATGTCTCAACATTAGGGGCTAACAAACCACCCCCACTAGTTGAACTCGACGTCCTCGTCGAGACTGATTTCAAGTAGTCCGCTACTTGATGTTCGTACTGCCATAATGAAACACCCCTCTCCCAAGTCGCATCTGCCTCGGGCTTTCCTTTCCACTGTATCAAGAATTCTGTCCGCATATTCTTCTTATGCATCCCAAGAATTTTGTGGTCAAGCACTTTCTCTATCTTTTCCTCTAGCTGAGTGCGCATCTCAGGAGGAGCTCTCTTTGTTTTGTGCCGTTCCGAATCTTCGGGATCATCAACATAAGGCTTCAGAAAACTCACATGGAAAGTTGGATGTATTTTCATTCTCTCTGGCAGAATTAGTCGGTAAGCAACTTCACCAACTTTCGCAGCAACTTCAAAAGGACCATCATACCTTGAAACCAAGGCTCTATGCCTAACCCGGCTGTCAATCTTTTTCCAAATCTGTGGAGTAAGTTTTAACAACACCTTTTCACCCACCCTGAACTCTAGTGGACGCCTGTGTTTGTCAGCATATTTCTTCATCCTTCTCTGAGCTTTTTCCAAGCTATCTATCGCTTCTCTGATTATAGCTTGTCTATCCCAACCATAATGGTAAGCTGCTGGACATTTACCCCCAGTCTTTTGTTGTGCAATCACCAATGGTTGCGTAGGCTATTTCCCCAAGACGATCTCAAACGGACTCATCTCCGTTGCTGAAGACTTGTGCAAATTATAGGAGAATTGTGCACAATCTAGCAAATCTGTCCAGTTGCGTTGACTCGCAGTCACAAAGTTCCTCAAGTATTCTTCCAACAGATGGTTAATCCTTTCAGTTTGACCATCAGTTTGAGGATGGTTTGCCGTTGAAAACTTCAAGTTTGTACCCATCAAGTTGAATAGATAGGTCCAAAACTAACCTGTAAACCGTGCATCCCTGTCACTAATGACATTCTTCGGCATTCCGAAGTATTTAACCACATTTTTGAAGAATAATTCAGCCGCAACTTTTGAAGGACATTCTGTTGGGGCAGCAATAAAAACAATATACTTGGAAAATCTATCAACCACAACCATGATTGACGAAAATCCATTGACCTTTGGGAATCCATTGATAAAGTCCATCGAAACAGATTGTCATGGTTCTTCTGGGATGGGCAGAGGTTGTAGTAATCCTGCCTCCTTCTTCCGCTCAGTTTTGTCAAGCTGACACACAAGACAACTCTTCACGTAGGCTTCCACATCATGTTCCATCTTGGGCCAAAAATAATATCGGGACAGTAGAGCCATCGTTCTTTCAATTCCTGGATGCCCTGCCCATAGGGTATCGTGAGTTTCTCTCAGCAGTTCACGATGTATCCCATCGCTAAGTGGTACTACGATTCTCCCCCCTTTGAAATAGAGTAGATCGTCCTCGATCCAGTACCTCCTTACTGTCCCTTCCTTCACATGATTCATTGTTTTTATGTACAATGGATCATTAACAACACATGACTTGATCTTATCAAGAAAATCAGATTCAAGTCGTGTAACAGAATAACAACAGCAAACACCTCCTTCCGGCTTAATGCATCAGCAACTTGGTTGTCTTTTCCCGGCTTATGTTCCCACATGAAATCATACTCTACCAAGAATTCCTGCCAACGGGCCTGCTTCGGACTTAGCTTCTTTTGCGTTTTAAAATATGTATTTGCCACATTATTTGTTCTCACAACGAACTTTGTCCCCAGCAAATACACTCGCTAAATCGGCAAACAGTGAATCACTGCAACCATTTCCTTCTCATGCGCCGAATATCTTTGCTCTGCTTCATTCAATTTCCTGCTTTCAAATGCCACTGGGTGGCCATTTTGAACCAACACGCCTCTAATAGCCTTTTCGGAAGCATCGGTATGAACTTCGAAGGGTAGTTCAAAATCTGGAAGTTGTAAAATAGGTTCTGAGGCAATAGCTTCTTTCAACATCTCGAATGCGCTACTGCATTTCTCTGTCCAGTCCCATACAACATCTTTCTTTAACAAATCAGTTAAAGAACCAGCTTTCTTCGAATACCCAGCAATGAACTTCCAATAATAATTGGCTAACCCAAGGAAAGATCTCAATTCTTTCACTGACTTAGGTGCCTGCCATTCCATAATGACCTGCACCTTCTTTGGGTCCATCCGCACTTGATTTTGACTTACCAAGTGCCCAAGAAATTTGATTTCTTGTTTGGAAAACTCAGACTTCTCCATCTTCACATATAATTGGTACTGTCTTAGGCGAGACAATACCCTTCTTACGTATGAGCAATGTTCATCCAGGGTCTTATTATAGATAACAATGTCGTCTAAATAGACTACCACAAAGTCATCCAAGTACTCATATAGCACATCGTTCATCAGATTACAAAAAGTGGCAGGGGCATTCGTCAACCCAAACGGCATAACAAGGAATTCATATGATCCATACCTCGTAACACA